AGCAAGTTCTATTTTCTTCTCTTTAACTTCGATTTTTTTTTAGAAAAATCTTAAGTTTGGATGGCGACCGACAATCTTCGCTTCATGTTGAGAAACGTTATTGCTTACGGTTGTTCAATAAACTTATTATGATCATGTATGAAATTTTTTGAATAGATGATTATTGCAAAGCAAGCACCCTTAATTTTAGGCAGTCCTTTCATCGTGTAAAGCATGACACTTATTATTTTAAAGTACAAATTTAGTTTGCCCCAGTCTGGCGTAATGTCCCGTTGTGTACCGATGCAAGAAACTGTTGGGAGGGAGGACTTAAGTACACCTTAATTTTAAACGTGAGCCTAAAGGTCCTAGAGTGTCAAGTAAAACGTTTTAGCGTTACAACATAAAATTTAATGAAAAATAAAAGCTTTCAAAATGAGAGCCGTATTTCCAGATAAACTTTCTAATTATAATATTTAATTAAATTGTTCTCGTTAAATTGTCAACATTCATAAAAAGACGGGATGTCTCCCAGTTGCCGAAAATCCTCGCGCAAAGCATTTTTTCTCCATTTTTTTTAAATCAGTAAAGATTTTGTTATGATGAGCGCTGCAAAGGAGGTAATCTTTGCTATTTTCTTTCCTGTCTTAGAAACGTTCCTAATGTGTATGTTCAGCAGCTGTTTGAATTATTAAAATAACTAAGTACAGGAAGTTGAAACTTGGGAATAATCGTCTTAAATCATTGACTGTGGATCGTGCATTTTGACAAAGACAAGTGCATCTTCTTCCCGACATGACATTTCACAGATCACTAAATTTTACAGGTATGGCTGGTTTTCAAATGGAAAAAGACAAAATTCCTGCTGTAACTTTTGCTTCTCTTTTCTTCTCTAACTTTTGACCCAATATGGTCTAAGCTCTGGAAAGCGACCACCTCCCGTAAGCGAAGCTTGACATTTTTGGTAGTCGCTTACGGGAGGTTCGACTGTAGTACTGCTGTTCGGAAATATTACGTCGTTTCCACGCTATGTGTTATCACCATAATTTGATCATGCTATGCATCGTCCAGGCTTCATAATCATTTTCAATACCATAGTGCTCTAAGTGTAACCAAGGACGGGCTTAAAATTCCCCTACCCCCATTCCCTTCCTTTTCCAGAGGACAAAGCTCAGTGTAAACATTTGCGTGTTCTTAGCCTCGTTGGTCTAAATATTGGCGAGAGTTTGTTCTCATAAACTCGCTAGAATGATTATGAAACTACTAATTAGTCTAGGTACGACGGTTGAAGAATATTCATTTATGGAACTGCATGTTGCTAAAAATACATTTATCAAGGAGAATTATCCTGCAGGAAACGATGATAAACCAGTGTAAGAGAAGTTATTAACAACTTGTATGTACGCCGGTGAGGGGAATTTGTGGCAGTTGGAGGGTGGTTGTAATGTGACCCTGTCTTGCCTCTTGACAGGCCACCTTTTTTACCAACCCAAGGAAAATTTAAATAATTACAACAAAATACCGTACTGGAGATTCAGTACCCAATCAGTTGACCATGTTTAGTTGGTCAGTAATATAGTGTTGATTATTTTTTTTAGGGGAAAGGAGGAAGAAACGAAGAATCGTCATGCTCTTGGTCATGGCTTTATATGTAATCGTCGTTGATGCACAAATTGACTGTGTCCATGTTGAATCTCTACATGAATGTGAGTGATACAGAACTAGAAAATACTGATCTTGAAGTAGGGACCACCTTTTCTTGCTCTTCTATTCTTTGTTAGAACATTGAGTAAAAGTAAAATCGTTTAAATTGAATTATAAAATTGAGTTTGTCTCTATTCCTCCCCAACCCTAAAGCAAAACAGGGGTATGGTACTCTTCCTTATATAGTTACCTTTTTTATGTTTGTGCTATACGGGTTTTGTTTTTACTGTTATTCCTTTCACAAAACTAAATGCCATTTATTTGGGAAGCTCTTGCAATGAAGGCAAGGCGTTTTTAAAGTGTGAAAACAGTCCTGGTCATGCCATCATAACAAAAACGGTATTTTTATCCGTTTTAGTACGGCACATCCCCTGAAATCCCTTCCCAAAAGTCATGTTGACTGAAACGTTGTCTGACTTTGTTTGCTTAATTTTGTGTAACGGGCGCTTTGAGAGAGGTATACCAGCACGAGTCCGGTGCTAGTGTTGGCTAGTGTTAACTTCTAACCGCAAAGAAGTTCTTGCGTCTTGCAGGATCTAAGCGCAAGCGACCCGCAAGAAGCCGCAAGAAGGTGCCGGCTTGCGGACGCAAAAAGAAGTTTATGCGCGTACATTATTTTTGGGCTGTACTGTAAAAATCTAAACTGACTTCATGGAAGAAGTGCTAATTAAGAAAATGATTTATTCTACGGAAACATCTACAAGCACAGTACTGTAACAATATAGTTTGGTTTCTTTGCCAGTGTATTTCTAAGTCACTTAGGTCTCATGGTGGTGGCCTCATGGTTAGTGCGCTCGACTCCGGACTCCGGATCGGGGGGTCCGAGTTCGAGCCCTGGCCGGGGACATTGTGCTGTGTTCTTGGGTAAGACACTTTTTTGTCACAGTGCCTCTCTCCACCCAGGTGTACAAATGACTAACGGCTGGGGGTAACCCTTCGATGGACAAGCATCTCATCCAAGGGGAGATTAGAAATATTAATAGTCGCTTCATGCTATAGAAACCGGGATAGACTCCGGCTTGATGGGCCACTTGGCTCGTATGCAGACTTTACCTTGGGTTAGTAAAAAAGGCACAAAAAAGGCTTGAGCTATTTGCAAAAAACAGGTTATAACGACTCCATATTTTAGAAACTGACCAATTTTGCAGTTCGTATCGATTTTAAGAAAGTGCTATTTATTTCAAGGCTGTAAAGCGAAAATTTGATTAACTGAGAATAAAATCTCTACCAGATCCTCGAGCTCCTTCCATGTCGCTAAACATTTTGGAATTTCCGGGTGAGGACGTCCTTCCAATTGGCTACGACATAACAATCATTTGCACCAGTAACTCTTCAAAGGAGGGAAGTCATCAGGCTGCTCAACCTTATTCGATCCAATACTATTACAACGAGAACTACGATGACTATATAAAGGATTGCGATGGCAGCGGAGAATCACTGGTATGAAAGCTTTTCATTCAAAATGCCAGGAAGAGCAATTCCGGTAAATATGAATGCGTGTCAGAGAATAGCATGAGATGCACAAAGGATAAACTCACATTGAAATTTAAAGGTAAGTCGTGACACTACCCCGTGATCTGTTGTTGTTATAATGGCGTTCTAATAATTCAACGATTAACAAAGTATTAGCCATTAGTGTGCTGATTAAACAGGTAAAACTACTTCCGTTTTCAGCTAAACAGCAAATCACTATTAAGTCCGTCGTCGACGACTGCGTGACGACGAACTGACAGAGACGAACATGCTCAGTTCCTTGAAAGTGTTATGAACTGACTTCCGGTCGTCATAATCGTCGTCGTCTTCTCTCGATCGTCGATGCTTAAGTTCCTAATTAAAAAGCACGAGGTTAAAACGTCTTGATTAATTTGGGGTCATTAAGCTTGAAAAAGTGCATTTTGAATGTTAAATCCCCTCTGATTTAGTTTATACGTGATTTGATCTTAATTAAGTTGCATTAACAGTCGAAACTATTTCTACTGCAGACCCATTACCACCACTTTTCAATGTCGATCTTCCAAGTCAGAGATACTTTTCCGCGGGAAGTAAAGCGAACCTAAGTTGTCATGCGTCAGGAATCCCCCGCCCAGTCATCACCTGGTTTAAGGATGGTCATCGCATGCCAAGCTTTTCTGTGAAGCAAGTTAGAGGTCACTCCATACTAGCTTTAGACTCCGTTCGCCTGAACGACCAAGGCAAGTACTGGTGCGAGGCTAACAGCACCGAAGGCTGGAACAGATCATCTAGTGTGAGTTTAACAGGTACAATGAGCGAACAAAGTACAGGGTTGTTACTATCAGTATAATTTAATGAAGAAAACACCCCGTAAGATACAGCCAGAAGCAGATAATACTACGTTTTTAGTAAATTTCTGGAATGAAATGAGACAAGCGGATTTCGTACTGCTGTTTAGACAATTTTATTTCTTTCAGATTGTTACGTCCAGCCAGAAAACTTTAGCGGCGCGTTTAATAAAAATCTTATGTCTGCTAACTCCTTGTTTTATATTATCAACAACAATGATGCAATACATAATCAAACATTCGCCATCTGTCATGGGTCTTCTTGTTATCATGAGAATATTTAAACTGATAACTCAGACACAAAAAGGAAATCATCAAATTTGGTGGTTATAGTTCGAATTTTTTAAAAGCTTGACCAAGTTAAAGTCAAAGTCACGACAATTTAAACAGCGGTAGCGCGAAAAACAAACAGTTATGTCTGTGCAGTACAGCTATTGCCTCCTTCATCTTTAACTTTCTGACTAAACTTATATATGCATGATTTTAAGCAATTGTCGAGATAAATTCAAATTTTACGAAAAAAAAAATACAGCGTCAAAGCTCTTTTAGTTAAAAAATTATGAGTATTTGAATCTCTTTACTTAAAAATCTTTTTAAAAATACTTTTTAATATTTGAATTCATCTCAACACATCCTTTCATTTTTTCCTATTATTTTGCATTTTCATTGTTTTAATATTATTTTGCATATTTTCAGTCCTGTGGAAACCAGTTTTTAGAAACCACCCCCAATCGACTTATGCCTACGTTGATGCAAGGGTTGCAACAGTAACCTTATCCTGTGAAGCAGATGGCTTCCCACATCCTGTAATTGGTTGGTTAAATAACAACTCGTCAGTTATAAATGGCACCGTGGTTCAAAATGGAAGTGTTTCGACGCTGGTACTTAACTTTACTAAAACAACAGAACAGTTGCAGAAGTACCGCTGTGTTGCCAGCAATTCAATAGGGAGCACACTTTCCAAGGAAGTGACGGTAACGATCTCAGTTCCAGGTAACAAGCTACATGTACGCTCACCTGTTGGACCACTCCGACACGCATGCATATTTTAATGTTCCCAAAATGTTTTTGAAAAGAATATAAATTCATAGTCTTCCAATTGAGATCAATGCAAGAAAAATAGACAAAGTGAGCATTTGCTCTCTGGGCTAGAGCTTTTCGGTCAAAATCATACGCTTTATATTCAATATGGATGGTTCAAAAAGTAAAATGGCTAGCTGTATTCATTAGTGATCTTTGTAGTTATCATATAGACTCGTTTGCCGAAACTTAGTTAACTGCGTTTTGTTGTTCTTTAGATATGATGGAGCCCTCTTTTTATCTCCATCCTAAGAGTATCTTGGCATCACGTGATGACACCGTGAAGCTCACGTGTGGTGCCCGGGGCTTGCCACGTCCAAACATCACGTGGCTTAAAGATGGGATTGCATTTACTGACGCTAGCGTTACAGTAATTCAAAGCAATCTAAACGAAAGTTCCGAGCTAATTATGAAGATTATATCTGTAAATGAGAGGCACATTGGATATTACTCTTGTCTGGCAACAGCTTTGAAAGCCCAGGTTTCATCGAGATATGCAATTCTTTCATTAAAAGGCAAGTACGTCGACGAGTTTATGATTTGATGCAGTTGTTCCAGGTGTACCTCAAGCCGCTGTTATTGGTTGATTTGTCGTCACCTAAGGATTGGAAAAAAAAAAAAGTAATCAAAATTAACTTAACAAAAGAAATGGGGTATTGTTTCCCATCAGTGATTACAATGTGACAGAAAAAGGCGTAATATGTTCAACAACAACAACAACAACAACAACAACAACAACAACTGAGTGAGAGATTTTCGCCCATATCAACTTCCTTTTCTCTTGTAACTTCTCGCGCGTTTAGAGATACGATTTGCAGAGTGTCTGGTTGAAGAATCTCGCCCATATCAATTTTCTTTTCTCTCGTAACTTCTCGC